TAAGGCATAGACTAGTTCACTATTTAACTTTTCAATGGGCTGTCAAAGTTTTCCACGTGACTGGGACATTGGTGACATATAGCATCTGTACTCTTTCTTTCCTTCCCTCCCTCCTTCTCTCTCTCTCTTTTTGAGGCAGAGTCTTTCTGTTATGCTGCTCTGGTTGTCCTGGAATTCACTATGTAGAACACGTTGCCCCCCAAGTGCTGGGGTTAAAGGTTTGTGCCACCACACCTGATCTGTACTTTGCCCCCTAACTAAAGCCATGCTACTGGGTATGAAGTGGTATCTTACTGTAGCTTTGATTTACATAATCTTTTTAATTTTTTTTATTTTTATTTATGTGCATTGTTGTACTTCCTTGTCTATCTGTGAATGCACATGCTTGTAGGTGCCCTCTGAGGCTGGAACAGGGCCTATGGACCCCTGGAACTGGAGTTACAGGCAAGTATGAATCAGTGTGTGGGTGCTGGGAGTTGAACCCCGGATCTTGGAAAGAACAAGTGCTCATAACTGCCAAACCATAGTTCTAGCCTCTGATTTATATTTATTTATATAAATATACTTATCAATGATATCAAACATTTTATAGGCTTGCAGATAACGTATCTTCTTTGTAGAAAAAGTTATGTCCTTTTTTTTTCTTTTTAACTCAGCTGTTCTCTCTCTATGCTTGGAATTTAACCTTTATTAGAGATTTCCAAATGTTGTCTTTTTTTCCATTTTTGGTAGTGTTCTTCGATGCACTAAAGCTTTACAGTTTCACCTTGTCTAGTGTAAATAGTTTTTCTTTTGTGGCTCTACTTTTGGCATCGAGTCTGCAGTCCAATGCTAAATACAACGTGGTAATGAGTAATGCTCTTTTCTATAGCTAACCAGTTGTCGAAGCGTTGTTTTGAGAAGATACTATTTCCTTAGTGGGTGTTCTTAGTTTCCTCTTTGAAAAATCACTTAGCCTAGATTATTAGAGTTTATTTCTGGGCTTCCAAGTCTTTTCTCCATTGACTTATTAGATTTATTAGCTTTGCTTCAAGTTATAAAGATCAAGAAGCATTGATTCCTTGTTCTTATTTTGATCATTCTTGGTCCCTTGAAATTCCATATGAATTGGAAAAAAGATGGCTTTTCCAATGGGATGTCGTCTAATATATGCACTGCTGGGAGATTTCCATCTGAACTATGTCAAGCAGCCTAACCCTTTCATTTGCTTAGGTCTTCTTCAATTTATTTTTGTAGAATTTTAGTGTTTCCTTGGTTAAATTTATTGGTAGGCATTTTAGTCTTCTGGCGCTATTCTAAGTTGAATTGTGTCCTTAATTTTCTGTCTTGTTCATTAGTGGGATAGAAACAACTGGTTTTGTGTGTTGACCCTACAGCAGCTGTGCTGTTTACTAGCTTAAAGTGTGTGTGTGTGTGTGTGTGCATGTGGGATGAGTTATTCTAGATATAGTCATATTAAATGTAAATAAAGACAGTCATTTGCCCTTCCTATTTGCATGCCTTTTCTTGCTCTGGCTGGGACATTCTCTGGTAGGCTGACCATCACTGATGAAGCACATTCTTGTTTTATTCTTTTTATTTGCCTTTTTTTTTTGTCTTCAAAAGTGATAATGAAAAGAACTCATTCATACCTATTAGCAATTATAGAGGCTAAAACTGCAAAGTGACCTATGAATCCTGCCGCTTGCCCTTCCTCCTGAGAGACCCTGCTTGTTATTTTGGTTGTCTAGGTTGCTGGCAGCTCTCCAGTAATCCTATGGGATCAGTAAGTATTCCTGGCAGAGCAAACTCTGAAGGAGCCCCTCAACATTGCAAAGAAGAAAAGAAGAATTATTTTTTAATTGTTTTTATTGAGCTCTATGTTTTTCTCTACTACCCTCCCTCTCTCCTTCCCTTCAACCCTCTTCCATGGTCCCCATGCTCCCAATTTACTCAGGAGACCTTGTTTTTTACTTGCCATGTATGTCTCTCTTAGGTCCTCTTTGTTGCCTAGGTTCTCTGGGATTGTGATTCGTGGGCTGGTTGGGAAAGAAGAATTCTCTCAGGAAGTGATGAGCTATTTATGCACGATTGTCCACTTTGTCCTCAACAGCATGGGGCTAAGAGCAGCAGCAACAAGGGTGCAGACTGTCAAAGACAGAAATGCAGAAAGCATTTGGTGAGCTATCTGAAATGTGCAAGTGTCCCGTGGAGGAGAAAATTGCTTTTCTGAAAAGGAAGTAGATGAAGCTGCATTTTGAAACAGTGTAGCGGGTAAGACTAGATGTCAGGCTAAGATTGCCGCTCACAGCAGTTACTGTAAACCTTGGCCATTGTGCCCACAGAACAGGAAGAAAGATGCTGTCTGTGTCCCTGGTTGGTGCAAGTCAGTGTTGAGAGCAGTAAATTGTAAAGAAAAACCCAACTAAAGTCATTAATATAAGTGAGTTAAACATTTGCATTTCAAGACGTTTTGACCAAGTCAGAAAACGTTTTGGGAAGCAAGTTGTGTGAACACTGATGTCTTTGTTTCCTTGGTAATATAAAGGAAGGGGTGTGGTTTTATAATGCATTCAGTTAATGTCATTGAATTTCCTTTTCAAATAGTGTTTTCTTATGTTTAAAATTTTTTTGCATGAATATATGTTTATGCATTACTTACATGCCCGGTTCCCTAGGAGGCCAGAATAGAGTACCAGATTACTTGGAACTGAGGTGTGAGCCATCTTAAGAATGCTAGGACGCAAACCCAGGTCCTCTGAAAAAGCAGCAAAGTGCTTTTAACTGCTAAATCATCTCTCCAACCCCCCCCCCCTTTTTTTTTCCTTTTCTACATTTGTTTTGAGATAAAGTACAGCTGAGGATGACCTTGAACTTCTGATTCCCCTGCCTCTGCCTCCTGGGGGCTAGGATGAGTGGTGTGGGCCACCCCTCCCCTGACTTATTCAAATGATGGTTTCTTGTCAGGTTTAGATTGCAGTAAGGAAAGTCTTGTTTAAAGGACTTGTTGCTTCCTCTGCTTTCATTCTGATGTGTCACTTTTCCAGGCCGTCGATTATTAACACTTACCTGTCAGAACAAACAGAAAATGAAACAGATGACTAATGATTTTCTTTATTTAGCTGTCTGATAGTTAGCTGGTCCAGAAAGGAGGTAGGACATCCCATGTTGAGTCTGGTTTTATTACCAGTCCAGTCAGTGAAGAAAGGCCAATAAAATCGCATGCTATTTAGATAACTGATATTTTTTTTCTATTGAATTTCTTCGTGCATTTTTAGTGATGTGATATTTACAAACATGTTCTGACATATATTTGTAAAGACTGTTTAGGAGGAGGAGAACTGAGATTCCCCAAAACTTGTTTGACTCAATCTGGTAATGCTCGTGTTGAATAGACAGCAGTTACTCTTCTGGATGGGTCTTAACAGGACATCAATGCATAATGTTACTGCTTTGTCACGAAATGGTACCTCCTAACCTGCCTTCAAGACGTGCTGTGTCTCACGCTTTCCCCCACAGCCCTTTGACAGTACCCTCTGTTTCCCTATAGCAGGCTTCATGTTTACGAATAATAACTTTATTACGATGACAGCTTTGTTAGAACACATGTTCTGAGAAGACATGCCTATCTTATTCATTACTAAGAGCCCAAGAATCTTAATAATGACTAGCACCTAGCCGGCATGTAATACGTTTTTATAAAAATGGAAGTTTCTGAAATTAACTTTTTTGGTTATTATGAATCAGCGCTTATATTTGAAAACATAAGGTTATAACATCTTTTTAAAAGTCTTTTTCTTTTTTGTTTGTTTGTTTCTTTTCTTTTAAAATAATGTCTCATGTAGCTCAGGCTGGACTCAAACTTACCACATAGCTGAGAATGTCCTTAAAGTCGTGATCCTTCTACCTCTCCCTTCCCAGCGCTGGAGTGAAGGCACGTACCAGCATATCCTGTTGTGAATATTAATTAGGACATCTTGCATTCGTTTATGCTGTGGAACATTTGTCTAAAGATGCAAAGACGTGTTACATTCGTTTGGTTAAATAAAATTGACCTGGGTCAGGAGGCTGAGTCAGCAATTAGCTGACAGGAAGTGGTAGGGAGGAACCGTGAGTAGCTAGGGTTCTTGGGGGTGAGGGGCTGACCAGAAGGACGTCCTGTTTTTCAGGAGACAAGAGGAAGGAGAGAAGCTTAGCTACTTGCTCTTCAGCCTCTCTGAGCGAGCGGAATTTCACCTCAACCTTATTGAATCCTGAGTTCCATAGAGGGAAAGAGATCTAGGTAAAGTTTCCTTTAGCCGGTGCCTGAGGGAACAGAATTCCAGCCTGCCTGCAGCTGGTGCAACCCAAGAACTCCCGACTAGGACAGCAGTTGCTTAAGGTGCAGCCACTGGATTAAAACAAAACAAAACAAACAATATCCAGTTTCTGTAGTACTGGGGCTTGACAGCCTCTGCGTGCTGTCAGGCATCTTTCAACTGAGTCACATGCCAGTCAGTTTTCTCTGTGTCTTTGAAAGTGCACCTTTTTATTCTTAAAAAAAAAAAAAAAAAAAGATTCAGGCAAATGTATCATGGTCTTAAGGATACAACTGTGTGTTTGAATGGTATTCAAATTCTACTTTGGCTTGTTGTATATCTTAGACTTGAGTAGAAAATAAAATTAACAATATCACCTTTAAGGTTTTTTCTTTTTTTTTTTTCAAAACAGCAAAATTAAAATGTCCTTAAAGATGTGGCATACGTAATAATATACCTAAGGAAAGGTTCTTCTCCTTTTTAACAGAAAATGTGTACCTTCCCTTCCAATAGATTCATTTTATTACCTGGTTCTCTCTGTTCAATCTGCCTGATCAAAAGTCACAACCAACAACTGAAGTTTTCTATCTTTGAATCAGGATTGTGGCTATCCATTAGGGGACAGGCCCCTTACTGGATGTAGTGAACTCCTCCTAAATAAAGGTCCTCTAGCCAAACGTTTTAAGCAAGACTAACAACATCCACAGAGACAAGCCGAATGGAAGTAACTTTTATTGCTGCTTTAGCCAGGTTTACTAGGGCAAGTGCGACTTTATACAATTTGGGCTTTCGTACACGATGGAAATCACAACTGTAGCTACACGGATGCAGTTGGTGGGAAATTAGGGACCGCCTTCTCCAGAATGCATGCAGATCCTCAGGGACTGTTGCAGGGGATCACAAAGGAGATCTTTGGTCCGAAGAAGACATCTCTGAAAGGAAGAACACAGGTAAACTCAGCGGAGAACTACGGCATATGTTAGTCTTTTCTGGATTGAAGATGGATGGTGTTTCCCAGGGTTTCATCTCATTTCATTGTAGGCAAGTCAAATACAAAAATAAATAAATAAATAAATAAATAAATAAGTAAGTAAATAAATAATAAAATAAAAAAATGAGTGGGAGGACTTCCCACAGAAGCCTCAAGACCTAAAAGGTATCTGTGTTTTACCCACTTACCATTGATGTTAAGCCATTATTTTTCTATAAATAAAAGGAAAAAATAGATAATTTAAAAATTATACTTTGATGTGGAGATGGGTTATAAAGTTTAAATCAGGGTATGAGATAGATCAGTAGACATTTTTAAAAAAAATCATCAAAGTTTAAAATATTTAAAATATTTTTAATTTTATTAAATTTATTCTTATATTTAATTTATTATTTTTATTATATTTAATTTAAATATCTCAGCTTCCTAGATTTTATGCATATGGAAGTGTTGTAGAAGTGATTACCTTTTTGGGTCAAAAAGGTAGGATAAGGTAACACCAAATGCGTGATATTGTATAAAAGTGTATGTACAAGGAGGTGGGATTCTGATTGTTAGAAAATATTTTGCATAGTTTTTCTGTTGCTACTGGAAAAACATCTCAAAGCTACGGAGACATGGTTTCTGTATATTTACACCTCTGTATAAATGTGTTAACAGTCATAGTCACGAAGTTATACAGAAAATAAATATAAGCCCACTGCAGTAAGTGGGTTTAATAGTCCAATAATGAAAAAAAAATTTAATGTTGATACGCATTTAATTTCTACAGTACAGAAACGTGCTCCGTGGGGTTGATAACCCACGTTCTTGCGTCACATAATACAGGGCTTCTGAAACCTGCTTGAGAGCCACCTGAGGGCCCCTTGAACGCTAATGGCAGGGCCTGCCCTGCACAGCTGGTCCAGTCGGTGCGCCCTGGGGTCCGAGGGCAGGTGCGCGCTGAACAGGCACTGCTCTGGAAGCCTCGCTTTGGGAGCCAGCTGGGTCTGAACCGCGTTGTCACCATAGTAACATTAGCTAGTTATGCAAGGTGTCACCTGTCCCTTCAGTTACCCTTCCCCGGGGTAAGAGGCTTCTTAGAAGGATCAAAATATGATGTCAGATGTTGAAAGCAATTTGAAACAGTATTAAATATCCAAGATCGAAGTATTTGAAATAATCCTTAATCAAAGGAAAACTATCTTAAAATCAAGGGCTAAAACTTGATATAATCTCCCATTGTTTTTTTTTAACTTAGCATATACCAAAATGCTAAGCATTGGTATTTTCCAAAATGTAAATTGTTTTAAGCATATTTCATTTCTAATTAACTTATGCGTGCAGCTGTAAGATCCTCCCATGGTCCTTACTGACATTACCCCATTCTGTCCATTACCTCATCTAATCTAAAAAAAAATTATCAGTTTTCAGATTAGTTACAATGTCAACTTCGAAGTTCATTTACATTATCAATGCAATAGATGTTTGTTGTTGTTGTAAGAACTGAATGTAGACTTGAACAGCCTAAGGTATCGTTTTTCACATTTTTATGTAGGTTTTGCTATTGTTGTTTGTGACAGTCTCCTGTGTAGCTCAGGCTAGCCTCCAGCTCCGAACTCTGGCCTGTGCAACTCTACTCAACAAGAACGCTACACAGCGTGGATAGTTCTGAAGACATCTGGCATCTGAATCTACTTGAGAGCCGTTCATTTCAGCAAACCTAGCTCTGAACCTGCTTGAAGTCAGGTCTGGTGCCTCATGCTGTGGACCCAGCACTTAGGAGGCTAAGAGAGAAGGATCGTAACAGGCGGGGTCTCAAAAGTCAGCCTGGTCTATATAACAACAGCCGCTTGAGCTACAGTTGAGATCTTGTCAGGAAAAAAAAAAAAAAAAGATGGTAACCGAACCATGAGTGTATTAAGTGGATGGAATATATTAATACCTATGAAGGATTGATTACCATCATGGCATATAACAAACCTTCATTGAATGTCACATTTCTACAACATTCAAAAAATGAAATAATGTGTTTCTGGGTTGTTGTTATAATCATGACAAACCGTATAAATAAAGAAGAATAATGCTAAAAATTTGTGTCAGTTGGCTATACTGTGTTATGTGCATTTGTGTAGATTTTCAAAGTCCGCGTCTTAAAGATTTGCATAGAGAAATATTTGGGAAATTTGTCTTCATACCAGCACTGAAAGGTGGAGATATCTAATTATAAATTAATCATTTGGAAAAAAGCATAGGACAATAAAAGCTGATCCTTTAAGCGGTCTTTCCTACAAGTACAGCAGTACACCGTGAGGTTTCATTCCCTTACTTTGGGCAGCAGAGCAGTTCGCTGAAATTGCAGTAACAGATCATCTCGCATCCCTTCCCATCCCAGAAATGATGCTGGACATTCGGGTTGATCAACGTCAGGTCGGCTCTGCCCTCTGGAAGGCTGTGACAGTTACGGTCTTTCAGCATCTTTCTGTAGCAGGAAAGGCGACTTGAAGGCATGGCTTGGGCTCCCAACAGCAAAGTTAGCCCGAGGGTGACAAGCACCACCAACTTCATCTTGGCTTTTGTTCCTGAGATAGAATAACAAACGAAATAGGTCAGCATTTGTTCTCTAATAGGTGGGATTCGTCTGAGCGTGAAGTTTTGTATGTTGTCACACATTTGGGGATGAGGGGAGTTCTTCTTTCCCACGCTCTTTGTGTTTCTCACCGTGTAACTTTCTGACCTTGAAATACTTGTCTAAAAATTCAAATGTCTGGACACCACTTAAAAAAGTAGTGGGGGCCAAGGAGTTGGCTCAGGGGGTAAAGACACTAGCCACACAAGCCTGAGGACCTGAGGTCAATCCCTGGGAACCATGTAAAAAGCCGCAGGTGTTGGCCTGCATCTGTACTTCCAGGATTCGGTTGATGGATGGGATGGAGGAAGAGACAGGCAAATGGCTCAAAAGCCACGGGCCAGCTCGCCTGGAGCACACAGGCCAGCAGCAAGAACAGCAGAGATCTGTGCAAGGCTTCATACGATCAGGACATTTATTACTCTTGGGCAAATATGGACATGTGGAATAACTGGCTGGTCTGGACGGTGGAGGCCAGAAGTCAACCTTGGTATCATTCCTTGGGAACCATCCAGCTTGGTTCTTCTTTTTTTTTTTTTTTTACTTTATGTGTATGTTTCGCTTGTCTGCCTGTATGTGTATCGTGTGCATGCCTGTTGGATGCCCTGGAACTATGTGTATGGATGATTGTGGACCACCATACGTGTGCAAGAGCACCAAGTACTCTTAAGTGCTGGACCAGCTGTCCAGGCTACACCTTGGTTCTTGAGACAGGAGCTCTCCCTGGGTCTGGGGCTTGCCAGTCAGTTAGGCTGGCCAGGGATCTCCAATGGCCACGGATTTCCATCTCCCGAGTCATAAGATTATAAACATGCACTGCCATTCGTGACTCTCAGGTTCAAACTCAGGTCATGTTTACATGGCAATCCCTTTACCAGCAGAGCTATTGCCCCAGTCCTAATATATTTTCACTTTTAAATAAGCTATCAAATTGTTTTAAGCAAAGTGGTTATGCCATTTCATATTCCCACTGGCTGTGTGGTTTCTCCATAGTCTCTGACTCTTGATTTAGTCACTTTTTACATCTTGGGTATTTTAATGCATATATAATGGTTTCTCATTGGTTTTTATTGCCATTTCTTATTCATTGTTTGATGTGGAAAGTCCTGCCATGTGTGTTGCTTTTATTGGTTAATGACTAAAGAAACTGCTTTGAGCCTATAGCAGGGCAGGACAGAAGAAGGTAGGGAAAATGATACTGAATGCTGGGAGAAAGAAGGTGGAGTCAGAGACACCATGTAGCCACCAAGGACAGATGAGCCAGACCTTGCTGGTAAGCCTCAGCCACGTGGCGATACAAATTAATCGAACTGGGCTAAACTAAGATGTGAAAGGTAGCCAATAAGAAGCTAGAGCTAATAGGCCAAGAAATGATTTAATTATTATAGTTTCTGTGCAGTTATTTCAGGTCTAAGTGGCCAGGAACAAACAAGCAGGCTCTCAGCAATTGTTGATGTTGAGTCTCTTTTCATGCAGTAATTTTTTTCTGGTGTGTTTTCTTTGGTGAAGTATATGTTCCGGAGCTGGTAAGATGCCTCAGCAGATAAAAGTGCTTGTCACCAAGCCTGATGATCTAAGTTCAATCCTTGGGACCTACCTAGAATAAGGAGAGAATGGACTATTGCAAGTTATGCTCTAACAGCCCTCCATAATATAAATCAATAAATGTGATTATAAAAATTACATTTCAGGATGGTGGCAGCACATGTCATTAATCCCAGCATTTGGGAAGCAGAGGTAGGAGGATCTCTGAGTTTGAGGCCAGCCTCGTCTACAGAAGGAATTCCAGGACAGCCAGAGCTAGCTATTACACAGAGAAACCCTGCCTTGAAAAACAAAACAAATTACGTTTCAATTCTGCTCCTCATCTAAAAAAACAGTTGGATTGTGACTGGGCATGGTTGTGCATGCCTGAAATTGCAATGCTAGGAAGTCTAAAATAGATGAATCAATACATTATTAAGGCTAGTATATGTGTGCTATACAGCAAATTCTAGTCCAAGCAAAAAACAGCAAAATCCTGTCTTAAAAAATTATGTTAAAACATTTTTTCCATAGTTTTTCAGTCCTTTGATTTTTAACAAAGTATAGGAACAAAAAAGGAAGAATAGAAAGAAAGGAGAACACAGAAAAAAATAAGTAAAAAATATAAAAAGATAACTGGGTTGCTTATACTGATTTGTTAGGCAATGTGATATAAACAAGAGTCACCTGGGAGGGAGCCTCTTAAGCAATTACCTCCTCTAGATTGGCCTGTACGTACATCTGTGTGATGTTTTCTTGATGGCTAATTGATGTGAGGGCCCAGCCCATTGTAGGCAGTAACCTTCCCCTGCAGAAGGTCCGGGGTGACAGCTGACTGTGGGGTTCGGGCAAGCCAATAGGCAGCATTTCTCAGAGGGTCAGCTTTAGTTCCTGCCAAGTAGATTTCTGCCGTGCTAGTTCCTGCCCTGGCTTCCCTCAGGGATGAACTACTCTCTAGATGAAATAAACCCTTTCCCTCCCAAGCTGCTTCTGGTGATGGTGCTCACCACAGCAAAAGAAAGCAAACCAGGACTGATTTTCTCAAATTGTGAGAGTTCTTACAGGCACAGGCTAACAGATTGGATACTAAAACAGAATCCATCCTTCTTCTGCATACAAGAAACACATCTCAACCTCAAAGACAGACATCGTTTTAGAGTAAAGGGTTGGGAAAAAATATTCCAATCAAATGGACCTAAGAAACAAGCTGGTGTAGCTATCCTAATACCTAACAAAATAGACTTCAAACTAAAATCAGTCAAAAGAGACAAAGAAGGACATTTCATATTAGTCACAGGAAAAATCCATCAAGAGGAAATCTCAACACTGGATATAAATTCTTTATTAGATATAATTGCTTTTGTCTCTGCCTTTCAATGTAATCTTAGCAATGGTTTCTAAAGAACAAAAGATCTCAAAATCGGTGAAGTATAATTTAGTATTTGGTTCTTTTATGGATGTCTTTTTAAATCTAAGAAACCATTATCTTTCCAAAGTTTACAATGGTTTTCTCCTATGTTTTCTAGTTCTCGGTTTTACGTTTGGGTCCATGGCCCGTTACTTCATTGTATGCAGGTCATTCATATGCTTCATATGAATTCAAGTTCTTCTTAATGTAGTTGTTTAATAATTTCTGTACCGTGCATTTAAAAGGTTGCTTTTTTCCCCCATCAAATCTCCTTTGCCTTTGTCAAAAGTACTGACATTTGTTAGTACCAAGTCAGAGCTCAAACTGCAGGCGGGAACTGAAGAAGAGCCTCAGAGGAAGGTTGCTTACTAGCTCGATCCCAGCCTGATAGCTGTGGGCCTCTTTCAATGCCCATTTTCTTAAATTAGTCTGCTTGTGTGTTTTTATTCCAAACTAAAGTTTTAATTCTTGTCACTTTGTAACAATTATTTAAATCAAGTACAGTTAGCCCTACAACCATGTTTTTAATAACTTTTTTTTTGTTTTGTTTTGGTTTTGATTTTCTTGTTCATTTCATTTCTTTTCTTTTTTCTTTTTCCTTTTTTTGGCAAGGCTAGGTCCTTTGAATTTGTGCATGAATCTCCTTGCCAATTTCTGCAGAAAAAGCCTGGTGGAATTTTTGCTGGAATTTCATTGACCCTTATAATATTGGATTGTTAGATTCATGAAAATATTTCTCCATTCTTCCATGTTTAATTATTTGTAGCTTTCTATTTCAAATGTCCATTCTTTTTTATTGTGTTAAGAATATTTAACATAAGATCTACTCCCCAAGGTTTTGTTTTGTGTGTGTGTGTATGTATGTATGTGTGTATGTGTGTGTGTGTGTGCAGATGCCTGTGGAAGCCAGCATAGAGTTCTGGACCGTCTGAAACTGAAGTTACAGGAGGCCGTGTGCTGCCTATGTGGGTACTTGGATAAGAATTCCGGTCCTCTGCGAGAGCATCATGTACTCTTAGCTGCTTCTGAATTAAGGCTCCAGCCCTGTGATGGCTATTTTAAATTCTCTGTCAAATCATTCATATATCTTCCTCCCTGTCATTAGGATCAATTTCTATGATCAATTTCATCTTGGTCTTAAGTATGGATTCTGTTTCTCTATTTTTCATTTTCATTGATAAGTGGTGTGGGAGAATTGTCTGTATCCTGTCAATCATGTATTTTAATAAAACGCTGATTGGCCAGGCAGGAAATATAGGCGGGTCAACCAAACAGGAAGTAGAGGCGGGGCGATGAGAACAGGAGAATTTTAGGAAGTAGGAAGCCCATTCCTTCCATTCCAGCCCAGACCATCGAGAAGCAAGATATAACCTGCCTGACTGAAAGGTACTGAGAGCCATGTGGCTAACATAGATAAGAATAATGGGTTAATATAAGCTATAAGAGCTAATAAGAAGTCCTAGCTAGTGGGCCAATCAGTTTTATAACTTATGGAGATCTCTGTGTGATTTTCTTTGGGGCTTGCTGGCTGTGGGGTACTGGGTGGGATGGAAACCCCAACGAGTAGGCCCCTCATTGTTACAGGTATGTGTATGTATATGTATATGGATATCCGCACATTCGATTTAAACAAATAAAAGAACTCCTATCGCCTTTCCCAGTTGCACAGCAAAGGAACTTCACTTGTGAGCGCTCTACATTTGTGCTAGTCCCAACAACTGTCTTTGCTCTAAGCTGTCTGTGGGTCTCTAGAATATGTTTACCCATGCTTCAAGACAGGTGAGATGGGAGCCAAGCGAGTACCTCTCGGGGAAGGTAGCAGGTTGGATGTGGGCCGAACTCTCCCTGTCTCCAAGGAAAAGCTGGATGCTGGATCACTTTACCTATTTATTCCGTGTTTGGCTGAGGACAAAAGCCACAGTGATGCACTCATGGTTAAATTTCAATGTTTTCTTCGTAGCTGTGAATGTAGTATAATCTTGACCCTGTCACTCCTCAAAGACAAACATAGCCAAAGCCAG